TACAATGTGAGCGTTCTCTGCTATGTTTGCCATAGTGGGCAGTATATACATTTGGTTACCTGGGTCACATGTCTGTCCAGGTTGTCCAACATCACAAAACTCCCAACGTACATTAGGGTTTGAGGTATAGCACCAAGTGTCTTCCTCTCCATCTGGATTACGACAATAATTATGATCACCCAATCCCATGTTTGGATATCTTTCCTCTGTACGTATATGAGAATGTGGTGATTGAGATGACCATTTCTGACAAGTTTCACCACCAACAGTTGTTGTCTTGGTGCCACGGTAATCTGATTTGTCCCACATTACAAAACATTCCACACCTGCAAAAAGTCATTGTAATAATTTGAATAATCAATATCTAAATATCACAAACAATAAACATATTATGCATCATCATGGCATTATTGACAGAGATAGCATTTTTTAAACAAAATGGCCCTCTGGTCCGCCATTTTTAATTAGATTTATTGAAAATAACAATTTATTATGATGGTAAATAACGCTGTCACTATGACAACAAAAGAAGTTCAAAGATACTGTACCGGTCACTGGTAGCATAGTGGTTGTCGCTCCAGACTCATGATCGGTAGACCCATGTTCAAATCCTACCTTAGGCTGAACATCAAAGGGTCAACCCCTACCCTGGGTGAGTGTGCCACAGACTCAATGGGAAGGCCAATTCCACTGGCCGAGATTCATTCACTAACGAATGCGACTTTGGGGGAACCTTTGTTAAGGTCCGCAGGTGCTTGTGTTTGACCGAGCCTGGTTGACGCCAGGATAGCGCATTAAAATTGCCATTTGACAGAGAGATGGCCACACAGCCCTGTCATGTAGTCCCAAACATGAATATGACTTCTGTGGCAAAATGCACTATGTGTCAGCACTAGCACTTGCAATTTGCACATAAAAAAAAAAAAAAAAGTCAGGAGAGACAACGGTGACATTCAATGTCCAGAACTGTCGCCTGGCACAAAAATATTTAAAAAAAAAAAAAAAAGATACTGTACCTTTTCTTTCATAGTAATCATAAGGATCATTTCTGAAGTTAGTTTTAAGAGAAATAACTTGTGAATTCTTATTACTCAGCCAGCACCTCTTGTTAGCTCGGTCATAGTCAAATGAGTAACACATGAAGTCAGTAGTTTCAAGGCACAAAGTTGCACACTGGGAAGCCGACACATCACTATGCCTTTCTTTGTTATGACCAGGAATAGCTGCATTTGGTACATGGCGAAATGCACCAACTGGACCTTAAAAAATAACAATTGAACACTTTTAATTGAAAATAAAAAATAATATTTTTGAGTGATTGAATTATTATACGTACATACATTGTATAGTAGGTTTTAACCAGTGTGATTGTTGAATTAAAATGTTAGTCAAGATAATTATAATCAAAGAAAGCTTAGAAAGAACTCCCATGTGCTGAGGGAATTTGAGACACATTAAAAATTAATTCAAAATTACTTGTACTTGAGATAATGATGGAAAAGCTGAAAACTAATTAATGCAAATCAGAAAACTAATATGAACAGATTTGAGTGTAAAACTAATGAGGTCAGCGCAATGTAACAGAAAATCTATGTACCAAGTTTTATTGAAATGTGATTAGAACTAACAAAATTATAAATTATTATGCTAATCAGGGAATTAATATGAACAGATTTTACCCCAAACTAATTAGGTAATTAATATGTACAGATTTTACCCCAAACTAATTAGGTAATTAATATGTACAGATTTTACAGATTTACCGAAAACTAATTGGGTCTCTGCATAGTTCTAAATTCATTGAAATGTGATGATTAGTACTTTAGATATCAGTAGAAAAGCTGAAAATTAATTATGCAAATTAGGTAATTAATATGCACAATTATTTACCCTAAAACTAATCAGTCCTAAAGGATCTATGTACCAAGTTTCATTGAAATGTGATGATTAGTACTTGAGATATCCATGGGAAAGCTGAAAATTAACTAATTATGCAAATTAGGTGATTAATATGCACAAATATTTATCCCGAAACAATCAATCTCTGCATAGTTATTGAGTATCTAAGTAACAAGTTTCATTGAAATGTAATGCTCACTACTTATATCAAAAGCTGAAAATTAATTAATTATGCAAATTAGGTAATTAATATGTACTGATATTACCATAAAAACTATCAGGTCTGTGCAGTGTCATATGACATCTATGTACCAAGTTTCATTGAAATGTGATGATTAGTATCAGAGGAAAAACCGAAAATTGTATAATCATTATGCAAATTAGGTATGCACGGATTTTTACCAAAAACTAATCAAAACATAGAATTAGTTCAGAGCATCTATGTACCAAGTTTCATCAAAATCCAATGAGTGGTTGTTTAGATATCAGTGGAACAGTCATGGAACCACTAAAAATTAGCTAATTATTATGCAAATTAGGTAATTAATAAGCATGGATTTTTACCAAAACCTGGTCAAATCTGCGCATTGGCCTAGAGCATCTATGCACCAAGTTTTATCAAAAAACGATGTATGGTTCTTGAGATAGCAGTGGAAAAGTTGGACACACATACACACACATACAGACACACTTAACTACAAAGACTCCCATTATGTGCTTCGCACATGGGAGTCAAAAATAAAAAGACATAGCAGCAATGACTGTGTTTGAAGCATCATGGCTAATACATCACACACAAGTGTTCTTCCCAGGATTTCGGTCAGGGATGGTGGCTAATTTGCATAATAATTAGCAATAATTTACAGCAATAATTTACTGCTTATATACTGATTATTACTTTAGTTTTATAATTTAGAATTTCATTCACGATTTATTTTCGACAAGTGAATAAACTTTTCTTCAAACATTTTATTTTTGACATCAGCTGTGGCGTGATCAGTGAATTATGTAAATAAACTACAACGCGCAACAAGTACAAGACTTCGGTTGGTTATTGTTTATGGCTTAAAAGAACAGCGAAGATGAGTCTCATAGAACAATAGCTTCAGAAATCATAGACAATAATAATAGTGTGAAAATCAAGCATGACAGGAGGATTTCGAGTGTGGCGGTGTCAGACGACATGTAGCATGGTGGCCTCTCAGCGCAGCATGGAGGCACTACTACGCTGTATGTATCCTTGGAAGAACACTGGTACACGATTTTAAATTTTTTAAAGTTTGCTGTACATGCACATTTACAGTTGGATTCTGCGAATTTGATATGCTGACATAATATTACATCACATGATCAGATAAGGTCACCAGATATGTTAATTATACCTCTTGCGCCATGCCTTCATCATAGCACTAACTGCATATACATGTATCTATTTCAACAGTGCTTAGGATTTTACAGTTATACATAGTAATGAGGTCGCAAAACCACACATGGTTATCTGAAAGATCCATTACATTTCTTTTCCAATGCTTTCTGTAGTTTTTTATAATTATGCATATTAATGACGTCAGTGTACTTGTGTTATTCTTGATGACTGTTTCTCCCTAGAATGAATTTTCAATTTAAAACACAAATTCTGAGTGGTAATTCCCTATATATCCCTTCTTTCTAAGATGCACTGTTGAATATGAAAAATTGTTGCTCTGCACACTGTACTATAAAATGATATAACAGATGGATGCCAGGTCATGTGACTTATGTGCCTGATTATTGGATAAGAATCACAATGTATGTCTCTTTAACAACATGCCAAATATGAAAACAATAGCTCTTTTCAAATGAGAGTGTTTAAAAGAATTATGGAAGAATAATAAGCAAAGCATTAACAAAAGGGCTTCACACTATAAGGGTCACAACCCTAACAATTATAAAACATATGGTAATAACTTTGTACAGACTTAAATGGGTTTTTACATGGAGTTTCATTTCTTGCCAATACAAGAAACATCAAGGTGGGCATCAGATGTCCTGCAAGATCAAGTAATTAGCTAAGTGGTCAAACCAAGAAAAAATATAAGGAAAATATAAGATAAAATATTAGTACATGTGTATAAGATATCCAACTAAAGGAAAAGGCCCAACGAAGAGAACAGGTTCAACTAAAAGATGATATCAAAAAAGAGGTGCAACTATAAAAGAAGATATCAAACAAGCCATGCATGGCACAGTTCCCATTAGTTATCAAATTTAAGATATATAATTTTGTTTATAGTAATATAGCTGGAATATAAACATGTCAGGAATATGATTATGATGATTGTTTAACATTAAATGATTGACATTTGTATCTGATCGTCAAACGAGTATTAAGAAATATTGCTCTGGAACAGCATTAATTAAAACAAAATCAGCCATTTTGAATACATGTATAATGAATATATAAAATTTGAACATAGTCAGTCAAAGCATGTCAAAGATATGGCTCTTGAAGCCCATTCATTAAAACAAAATGGCCACTAGTCAGCCATTCTGAATCTGATCTAAAAAATAAAATAACATGCATCAGGAACCCGTAATGTCTAATGTATGTACCAAGTTTGAGCAAAATCCATCCAATAATGCCAGAAATGCTTGATATTTGATGATTTTTTTAGCACAAAAGTGGCCACCATTCGGCCATTTTAATAGGATCGCCAAACCAATGTATCTGTATATCTATGACATGATGTATAATGAATATTTAAAATTTGAACATAATCAGTCACAGCAAGTCAGAGATATATGGCAATAGAATCACATTCATTAAAACAAAATGGCCGCCAGTCCGCCATTTTGAATCTTAATATATACCTTATATATAAAATATGTTTTTGAAATGCAGTCCCTCACCCCCTTGGCTATTTTCGCTGATTTTTCGTCGCCGGAATGATTTACGTCCCAAATTATGGTTCTGCAGGCTGGACTGAATTAGATTGGGCAAAAATCTGTCGTTTTTGGCCTCAACAATTTTTT